ATTTACTCGCGGTTTCGAGGTGAGGGGAGCGGGCTGGACAGAGGGCTCCCCAAGAGGATTTTTTTTGTAGATTTTTTTATTGCCTAAAGTTTTACATATTTCTCCTTTTTTTCCCCCACCGATGGACTCCCCCCACCCCCTTCCCCAAGAGGGTTTCTGACCGTTTCGCCCGGGGTAAGGCTAACTGGTCCCAAGCTTTCCTGCGCCCGGCTGGGCGGACGCTTCTCCGAAAGCTCTTCCTGCAACTTTCACAAAGCCAGCTCCTCCCCGGTGCAGTCCCCGCGAACACATCCTAGACGCCCGCGGCACCCTGGGAACTGTTTTTACAGACCGGCCAAGGAGCTGGCGAGACATCAAGGAGGAGAGGCACCTTCCCTAGCGTTTCGCCCGGGCCCGCGCTCTGCAGGCTGCCCCTGGCCCTCCTCGCCTACAGCCCCACCTTCTCGCAACACGCTGTCGCGCTGACCTCCCAAAGCCTCCGCCAATTCTCCGCTGCAAACTTGCATGGAAGAAAGTTCGGGCTTCCTCTCCCGCCGAATTTGCTTTCAGTTTTCGCCGCGGGCGGGCTCGGGCTCGGACTGGTGGGTTCCTGAAGCATCCACCAGAAGTGGGGGCTGCTAGGCACAGCGGGGCAGCAAGGGGCCCCTCGGCCCCAGGGCGCTGATCGTCCAATCTCCCTGGAAGGCCCCACCTGCCGCCTCACGAGCACGAGAGGCCACGGTGGGTCGCGTTCCAGGCCGATGCGTCTGCGTACAGGAGAACCAGGAGGCGTTCCCTGCCCGTTGGCAGCGAGCTGGATTTATTCGGATAGAGGCAGTGCAAACCGCAGCCAGAGAAATCCCGTCGATTCTAAAAATGACAAGGTTGAATTTATACGATCAAGATTCATGTGTGGTGCAGGGAGATGAAAATTATACAAACAGCTTCACGTCCAGTGTGAACGGAAGATTGCTTCCGGCTCAAGGGCATGTAACATAACATCTGAATATTTAGATCTTTAGAGGGATATAAAATATTAAATTCCCAGTGTGTGCACATATAGTGAAGTTGGAAGAATTCTACGGCAAGGGTCTTTTTACAGCCTCTGCCTGGGTGTAATCTGGGCTCGAGATAGTACTTATGTCCAAATAACCACCCAGCCCAATATTTCCTATAGCCAGAGTGAGTTCCACATCATCGAGGGGTGCAGTATGTGTGCCTCTTTAAATATCTGCGGCATGGCAGAGGTGAAAAACATTTAAGAAAAACAGGCGCACAGGTAACTGAGCCATTACACCGCTACAATATTTGTGTGTGTGTAGAAATAAATATTCCTACCAGGTCGGCTGTGGAAAATACACACAAATTGAGGGGCTTTCGGAAACCCAGGATGGGGAAGTCACGATCCTGCATCTCTGGCGCCCAGCCCCCTGAGAGGGGCTCAGACTCCACTCCCATATGACTGCTGGGAGAAGCTGGGCCCAGACCCCTAACACTGCCTTGACTTGGGGGAGGGGGGGCAGTGAAGTGTCCTTCCCAGATTGATGAGCTGTGAGGGAGCCTTCCTGGGGCTCAGGATAGCAGGGCCTGGGGGCCTATGGGCAGCCCTTCCCCCTCAAATACTTGATCCACCTCTGAATTCTGGTTCCACGGAGCTAGGGCAGTAGCCTTTTGGGCCTATGGATTTGGAGCAAGCGTGTGGAAAAAGGCAGGTCGCACTTGGTTCCCAGGCGTCCCAGAGGGCAAAACCAGAGAACACCTGAAAGAAGGCCGTGATCTCACTCCCAGAAGGTTATCAAGACCACCTGGCCTGCGGAGGGCCAGTTTGAGGCCACAGAAGCAGCTGTCTGGGTTATTTACTTCTGAAATGTTAGGTACCCCTTCACAGGATCAGTGCTGAGGTCAGATGCCTGGTGGGTCTCCGAGTATTTGCAATGCCCAAGCAATGCCGGCAGCGGGGTCAGAGACCAGAGACATTGCAGCAGTGAAATTCCAAGACCAAATACTAATTCCACAATGGGGTGCTTGCAAGTGTCCATCCATCTCATGCCCTGGTCTCTCTTTATTTTCTCACCCATCCAAAATGCAACCAAACCTTAAACAGACATAGACTTTTTGAGAGCTCCTGATTGAGGAAAAAATTAGAAAGAAGTTTGTCATGGGGTCCTGGAAATGGCACACACTCATTAGGGAGCCCTGGCGCAGAGGAATAACCCGGGCCCTGAGAATGCCCTTCTTCAGAGAGTGGGACCGCGCCGAAGTGGTACGGCACACCTAGAGGAGGGCGAGAATAGGAAATATTCCTTGGCGGGGGGTGCGGGGGGGAGGAAGGGGCGGGGGAAGAGAAGAAAAAGATTAGGGAGACAAGAGAGAGGCCGGAGAGGAAACAAAAAAAGAGAAGATAGGGGGGCGGGGGAGAGAGAAAGAGAGCCAGGGGAGGAACCGAGAAGAGTGCAGGCCGTGGCGAGACTCCAGGAACCGGCCAGGCTTTGGCTTAGGCAAGGTGGGTACCTTCAAGGTCTCGAGAAGAGGGAAGGCCACCCGGAACCTTCCCCTACCAGCCCCGGAATCTAGGCCCTGCTCCCTGTCCGGAGGGTCAGCCCCGAGTCCGGCGGCCTCCGCGCGCTCTCTGCTCTCCCCACTCCTTGGGGACCACAAGGCGGGGCCGTACTGGGTGGGGAGGCCCCCAGGGGCGCGCGCCAGTCCGGGACTATTTGGGCGCTCTGGGCCAGGCTTTCCAGCTCGCCGGGTCTGACCTGTCAGGCGGATTATCTTCGAGGGAGATTAATAGGGGAGGCGGGCTGCAATAATAATCGTTTTGTTTGATGTGACAACTCTGATAGGCGTTGATTTACTTACAAACTGATAGGCTTTTAATTGAGCGCCTCCGCCGAGCCCGAGATGAAAGGGAAGCGGCGGTGAAAGGCGGCCCGCCTGCCCTCCGGCCTCAATACTGATTAGCCATCTCGACAGTGAATAGTTCAAGGCATTTTCAAACTTTTTGCCTCAACTCTCTCCCCTTCTTTCTCCTCCCACCCCCTCCTCAGCTCTCTGCCATGCCCACTCCTTTTTCAGAGAAGACAAATCATTTCCATTGTGTGCAAATAAAATCCACAGGAGACCCACGCCAACCGCCGCTGGGGGTGGGAGGCAGGATGCCTAGCGCCGAGTAATTAATAAACCCCCACCGGTCCGCAAGGCCTTCGAGGATTTGGCCTCCCTGGCGAGATGCGCCTGCTCAGATGCCGGATCCTCCGGAAAGCCCGGGAGCGAAGGCCTGGGTTTGGGGAACCCAGGCACTTGGGTTTGGGGAAGGGCGAGTGCGCGCGGACCACGACCCTTATGCGCGCAGCGCCCTGCTGGCCCGTGCCGTGCCGTGGCACGCCCGTTCCAAGGGACACAGGGGCCACTCTCTGGTTTCCCCACGCTTTGGGTGCTGGGGCTGCCGCACCCAATTCCAGAAGAGGGAAGGAACTGAGTCTGGGGGTAGGGGAGGGCACTCTCGTGTTCACCTCCAGCTATGGCCACCGCCCCTAGCATTCAATGTCTGGGCCTCGAGGGGAGGCCTGGCGACACCCGGCTCCTAACTGAGCTCGCCGAGCCGGGAGCTCCACAGCTGATCCAGGCCGACACCTCGACAGCCGCGCACTCAATGACACAGACACTAACATAGCCGCAGGATACAGGCGACTTCACAAAGGCGCTGCTCTTCAGAGACAGTTTAGGACTCACTGGGACTTGCTACCCAAAGATGATCAAGACAACCTTCACAGCCTTGCTTGTGACCTCGCCACCACCTCCCAAACTCGTCCTCCTCGGCTGTCGCACAGACACTCCAAACCCCCTGAACGCAGGTGTGTTCTTACACCTACACACGCGCACACATACACACACCGACAGACAGCAGCCCCAAATACACAACGCCTCACTCGCCTCTTCTAATTATCTGTAGTCAAGTTGCCATCTCATGAAGTTTACCAACCTGAAGAATCAAGGGATAAGATTAAAACGCAGAAAGTGAATGCCTACAAGAAAATTCTAAAACTCACCCCGGAAAGTTCTCGGTACCTGTTCGGAGTGGGAGACAGAGACAAAAATGGGGGAGAGGGGAATGGGATGGTTAAAGAGGAGAGGGCGAGCCCCGTTGAGGGCAGGTCCGAAATCCGGCCCCCGCGTTTGCGCGGCTCTGCGCCTGGAGAGCGCGGGTGAAACCGGTGTCCGGCCCGGCCTACGCCCCCCGCGCGGGTACAGACTGGCTCAAGGCTCCCAGCGCTCCCTGCCCCGCCATTTATCAAAAGGATTGACAACAAAAGAAGAGTCGGGGCGGAAAAGTGGGGGAGGGGAGATTCAAAGTCTTCCAAGTCCTTCCGAGTAAGGGGATGTGTGTTCTCCTCTCGCCCCCCACCTTCCAATTTCTGCGACTTTCTGAAGGTGACCCCCGAACTCGATCCAGACGCTATCAAAGCCCTGACAACTCACACAGCGGCACGGTCATGCATGCACACTTGTGTACGCAGAATCAGGTACACGGAAACACGCACAGCGCCTCCCCTCTTCCTTCCAAACAGCCGAGTGACGGTGCAAATCGAGGGGAACGCGGCTGTCCCGCTCCGCTTCCCTGGAAGAGCCCGAGTTCCCACAGGCAGCCTCCCCCGCCCTCCTTCGCTCCTTCGCTCTGCTCTCCCCGCGCAGGTCAGTCCCGGCTACGCGTTCCATAAATTCGAGCGAGCAGACCGGAGTAACCCCGGCTTCCAAGCCCGCGAGGATGGAGCACCGTGCGCAAGGATTGGGGAAGCGGCCAGAGTGAGTCTGAGACATCTCTCCCGGATACACCCGTGGTCAGGCCTCTTCTTCGCAGCCTCTAGGCCCTAACCATCACGCCCGGGGTTCAGGGAATTGAGAGGGATACCCCACCATTGACCCCCAGGACTCAAGGTTCCATTGGTGACGTGGTCTTAGGAAGAAGTCGCCGCGTTTGGGGTCAGGGCACTTCGGAGGGTGGGGTCCACAGCAGGCTAGCAGCCTGGAGTCCGCACACTACGTGCCCCCGAGGGAATATTCCAGGGGAGAGAAAAAAATCTCCGATTTTAGACATCACCGCCGCCCGTCTCGGGTACCCGAGGCCATTCCGAACTCCGAGGCCCCAATAGACCTAAGCCCCCAAAGTGGAAGGGTGCATCTCTGACTCCGACACCGAGAGGGGAGAGGCGCGCACCCCAGGCCTGCGCACCCCTCTCAGCACCCTGGCCGCACCTGCGCACTTTACTCTCACTATTCATTTTCTTGACACTGAGCGCCTCCCTCCCCTCTTCCATTCTTTTCCCTCAGAGCCCCCATTCCCTCCCATCCCGTGAGGCGGCTCCCCTCTCCTCCTCCTCCGGTTTCCCCTGGATCTCTTCCTTCCTCTCTCTTTCTCTCCCTCTCTTTTTCCCTTCAAGTCGCACCCGCCTTGTAATCAGCAACAAAAGCTGACATAAATCACGGGTGGATTGACAAGAGCTGACAAATAACTGATTGATTGCGGTCGAGGAACATTGACAATTGATGGAGGGGTGGAGATGCCCGAAGAACTTGGCGGGGGGTGGGGGGAGCGGGTAGGAGAGGAGAGGATGGCAGGGGAGAGTAAGCAGTGGGGGCTGAGTGTGAAACAGAGGAAACATGTGACCCTCGATCCTGCCCCAATCTGAGAGTCCCCGGGCGTCACGTGGCCGGGAAGGGCGGGGAGCCCAGCGCATAACTCGGAGCAAAACCGCCACCGCTGCCCACCTAGCTTCTGGTTTCTCCGCCGCCAAATCCCGGGAAATCCAATCGGGCGGGCGGACTTCCTCCAGCCACCCGACCCCCCACCTTTCCTTACCCTGGCGGCCGCCCCGCGAGAGATTTCAATTACTGAGGAGGAGAGAATATTGGGTGTTCGAGGCCCCTGTGCACCCCTGGTGTTGACAGTCCGGCTGTGGTCCAGAGTCCGCCGGTGCTCCGTTTGAACGCCACCTCCATCTGTTCCTCACACGCACCCTCCTGCAAAAGGTTTCAGTTTATTTTCGAGCTGGGAAAAGGAAGGACGACAGGAGGGGAAAAAAGAGGGAGGCGGCAGATAGCAAACGTAGAATAAAAGTCCAGCTACCCTTCGGATCGAAATCGAGGGAGGGGACTAGCCGCGGAGGTGGGGGGCTGGGGGCGGCGAGCTGGGAGCTGCCCATTA